ATATTTTATATACATATTAAATATTATTTCATATTCGATCTAATGCTGAAAATTATTATTATATTCTATATGTTTTTTTATAATTTTTTTTATAAAAAGTATTTACAAATAAATACCTACTACAAATTAAAAATTATTGAAAAATATTTATTGTTTATTCTATTATTTATTGTTTATTTTATTATTTTATTGTTTATTATTGATTTTACTTTGAAATTATTAAGAATATTTAGTATGAATTAAATATAGCTTCAAATTTGTCAAAATTTAATATTGTAACAAAATAATAATGGATATTCTCATTTTTGATCAAGTATCATTTTATAAAATGGAGGTCACGTGCATACGTGGCGACCATCATGGATGCATGTGAAAAATTTGAAGAAACCAGTCGACGACCGGTTTTGGTCAAGATTTTTCTTTTATTTGAATATTTTTCTGTGTTTCTTGTCGCGACAAGAACACCATGTCGTAACGACAGAAAAAGAAGAAAGCAGAATAAGTTCTATGTTGAGCAAGGATATTCTTCCTGAATGGCGAGGTGTCTTAACGCGTGTACAGTTAACCACGAGTCAATGATCTTGGCATGGCGCCTCATTTAGACGAAACTAGATTCGAAGAAGGTCGAGGAAATAGTCATCGATTGAATTACAAATATTTCAAACGGTATGCGAGTTTACTTGACACATCCCTCAATAGTATAGAAAGCTTAATTAGGATTTCAAATTATGTGCAGATATCTTGTATTTTTTCTGTCAGAGAAGTTTTCATTTTCATTTTTAAGCATTTTTTTTTCCATTACAATTTAGGATTTAGAAGAAAAATCTAAAAGAAAAACCTTTAAATATTTTTCTGATAAGTTGGTTTTTGAATTAATTTTCTGAAAATGAACATAATATATATTAATTATAAATTATAAAGATATAAGATTAATATATAAAGAAAAATATAGCATATTATAACATAATACCCAAATTTATTTTCAAATTTTTAAAAAATTAATTGATTTCAATATGATTTTAATTTTCTTCATATATTTCTTTCTATTTAAAAATTTTAAATAAAATCTTCGTTAAATTTGTATTTATTTTTCTTTGAAATCTTAGAATTATTCTAGGAAAAAAATAAATGTAAATTTAAACGAAATGATATAATTTTATATTATTTTTATATATATGTATATAAGATTTCATATTAGCACGAAAAAAAATCTATTTTTATTTATACATATTTTATTTATATGTATAAAGATAACTTCTGTCGTTATGTATCAAATAATGCAAGTGTAATAATTTCTAGTTAGAAAGTTTAGTAGCAGAATTTCATATATATTACTTCTAAAATAAAATAAATAAAAGATTGTTGAAAACTTTCTGCGCATACAAAAGAAAAAAGGGAACATTTAAACAAACTAAAGGAGAAGGTTGATGATTCACAATTAATGTCATTATACTTTTCTTCGACGTTTTTAGAAACATAGGAAACTGTGAAAGCATCGGGATACAAACGTAACTTTTTCTTTTCACTACGTGAAATGCCTTTCGAAAGTAGTATTTCGTAGATTTGGAATGGCCAAAGAGTACCGTTGCCCATGAAAGATAAACTAGAGGTTACACGAGCCAACTTAAATATATGTGTACACTTAATACACATACCATATATACTATGTAGCCAATGATAGCGCATTGCATTCTGGGTCACGTGTTTTTCGATACGTGTGCGCACAATATCTCAGAGCTGTAACGAAAAAACTCACTTTAGCTAAGAAATTCCTTCAATCGATTCGAATTATTAAGACAAATATTCAAATTATCTATCGAATTATTCTGAATGATTAAAAATCACTATGTTTCTTGCAATTTTTATTATTAATAAGTTATTAATAATAAGAATATGTATAATATATAAATTATATATAAATTATAATAGGAATTTTTCTATTAATAGATTATTATAAGCTATTTATTATTTGAATATTATTTTATTTCATGATATATAAAAGTTTGAGAAGTAAAGATTTCTTAACTCGTATTTTAAGCGTAAAAGAATTTGAAACTTGAATTCGAAATTTTATTTTGCAACCGACCATTAGACACGTGCGTAATTAGAATGTTTCTAAGGAAAATTTCCATGAGTATCCAATTAATCGGCAACAACCGTGAAACTTCCTTAAACAGACTGCATCGATTTTCGCAACTTGTATTTCGCAAAATCATGTTGCCCCTGTTAGTTAAACATTGGATTAACGTAATTTCCCTTTCATTCATTGTTGCAGTTCAAACCTATCTAAGTCCTGTGGAGACACATTGTATGAACATTAATTACTTCATCCCCGATGAAGAAAATTTAACGAGAGGCTTCTCCGATGACGCAATGACTCGACTTCGTATGTAAAGCGAATTAAATAAAATATCTATACAATATTTTTTTTAGAATTATCTTAAAGATAATGAACTATTAGCATAGTCACAAGTGGCTACTTTTTGACTCGCAAAACTATCTCCATTATATCGATTTAATTCTTAAAATTAAACATTGATTGAATTCATAAATTGAAACATTATACTTTCTTTTCTGCATATTCTTTATTCTGAATGTCACTAGAATTATATTTTCCAATAATCTGTTGATATAATGGGAATGTTAGCTGCTTGTGTGACTTGAGAAAAAAGTCAAGTTCATCATTCCTGTCTTAAATAAATAAATTTCATTGGTATTTCCAGACATGGGCAGATCTGTGATAGCTCTGTTTATAGTGGGATTTGTTGCAATTTTTACGGCATTCTGGACGGGAGTGGTAGGCTGTTGGAAGAGGTCACCAGGAAATATCACAGCCACTGCAATCTTGATGTTGCTAGCATGTTAGTGGCTTCATACATTTAATGCGTGTTTTATCTATTCATTCTATGATTAATAACTACATAAAAAATTTTCCAATTATTAAAATATCGTTATAAATCAAGCCTTGAAAAAAGACAATCATTCTCGTTTCATAATATTATATTTGATAACACAGGCCTATTAAGCGCTAGCGCAATGGGTCTTTGGCACGGAGTGGAGTATTACGAGAAAGAGAAAATCGTCGGAGAAGAGTATTATCAACAATGGAACAACGTAAGTGACATTTTTTTATTGCTTGAATTATACAGAATTATATAGAAGATAATAAAAAAATCTTCATAAGTTTTAGAATAGATAATCCACATCAAATGAACGAAAAAATCCTAAAAAATATAAATATTTTTTAAAGTTTTTTTTTTTTAAGCGAATAATCTTTAAAAACTAAGTTTTAAAAACTTATGAATTATTATTTTTTTCTTTTTATAGAAATTTTTTTTTCTTTTTAATTTAATTTATAGAAAATCTAAATATTTTCCTTTCATTTTCTTTCACGTATCTTATCTTGTTTTGTAATATAATACAGTGAATATCGCTTAAAAAAAATTTTTTATAAATTTGAAAATATTAATTTTTCGATCTATGTTTATTAAGATTTTTTTTTTATTTAAGTACTATTTATTTTGAAAATTATTTTTTTATTATTTTACATAATGGAAGTAATACAATATTTGATATAATTCAATATTAGTAAAAGTTAATTTTTATTTTGTAGTACAAATTATTATTTTTTAATCATTTATGAAAATCAGTTTCGTTATTTCCTATCAATTCGTGAATTTTCTATATCGTGTATTAATGTATGCTTCAAGATAAACACTTGCAACCGCTGACTTGTGTAACATAGAAAGTAACTTGTTGCTTTCGATATTGAACGAATGTATTTCTACCTCTTTATCGATGAGGATTTAAATAATCTTGATATAACATAGAGTGAGAAAATTTAAATAATCTTGATGTAAATCTGATGATAGAATGTAATATAATATTCGAGATTCATATATTATTTTTATATTGAATATATGTTTTTGACTACATATCTAAGCAAGATGCAAAAATTCAATATTATTAAATTTTAAATACAATTTTAAATCTGAAAGATTCATGTCAAAAATGATTTTTTTTAATTTTTATTTCTTTTTTTAAAAAGAAATATTTGAAAATCTTTAATTTTTTTAAAATAAATTTTAATTTTTTCTAATAAAATATTCATTTCAATTTTTTCTAATAAAGTATTATTAATAATTATATTACAGAAAAATTATAGTATTTCAATTACAGATATCTAAAAATTTAAGATATGATTCTTCAAATTAAAATAAAACGAAAATCAAGAATTAAAAAATTTGCGGATTTATTTTTTAATTATTTTATCTAGTTTTTTTTTTAGTTCATTGGCAGGAACAATCTAGAGATATTTTCGTCAATTTTTAATTATCGAAGACTAAAAAACAAACGCATTTTTTTTTAATTTTCATATTATTTTATTTTAGCTTAAATTCTTGAATTCTTGTACCTAATCAAATTGTAAAATTATAGTAAATTTTGTGATCAAAATTATTTTTTTTTCGAATACTTTTCAACTGCTTTAAATATCATAGAGCAAAAATAAAACAAGTCAAATATACATATTAATTCACTTTGCTTCCAACTGCAAAATTTAATTATTATTACATTTTCTTTAATTATGCTCGTTAAAACACACAAACAATTGAAAAATTCCTAGGACTAAAGGCGATGATTCCAGAGACGGAAGGATGGTTCCAGAGAAAGAAGAAACGTAATTGTTCATTCAAAAATTTGCCTACAGGTTTTAAGAGACAACACGGTGCAGTGGTACGGCTGGTCGTTTTATCTTGCCTGGCTGGGGGTGGCTACGTGTTTAGGCACGATGACGCTGTTCCTGATCGCGGCAACCTGCCTGCGGCGGGAGCATGCTCGCGAGCAGGCACAGAACATACAATACATCATGCCAGGTGACGCGCAAACGCTGAAACGGCCACACTAACTTCCCCCCTCTTTTTTTTTTTGGAATGCGGCTCTAGGTTCTGAAGGACAACTCACTAATCTCGTACGACTGGTCGTACGTGGTCGCTTGGGTCGGCGTCGGTTGGTCGTTGGTCAGCGCGATCTTGTTTAGTGCCGCGGCGATTTGCTTGAGGGGCGAGAGAATGCGCGAGGAGGCGATGAACATGCAGTACCTCATGCCTGGTACATATTTAACACCTTTTGCTTTTGCCGAACGAACGCGATTGGCTCGTGTGGATTCCTCTTGAGGTCAAGGAGGTAGAGCTGGGTCAAGGCATGATTTTTTAGTTTAGTTAGTGAAATTTTAACTTGAAGCTTTGGAGATATATTTTAAGTTATGCATATGTGAAGTTACGATATTTTATGGATTACGGTAAATATTTTATGATTGCAAAAGATTCTAAGAAAACAAAAAATATTGATTTTTATTTTTAATAGCTTTTTTATTTTTAATATAAGCTTGAGTTTGTTTATATTTGTGCTGAATATAGAAAAAGATAGTAAATAAAAGAAATAAAAAGAAAAAATAATTGAGATTCAGAAAAAAGTATATCTATAAGATAATAATGCAAATATAAAAATTTTTTATCTTTTTCGTTTCTTTTTTGGAATGGAATTTTTATGTATATATTTGTGATATTTTTCTAACTAAAATAAGAAAAAATTTCATGTAATTTAGATTATATTTAATAGAAAAAAGATATATAATAAACAAAAAAGTTAATATTATTTATTAAATATGAAAATAATTCAAATTATATCTTGTTATCTTATTTTAATTAAAATTATTATTTTCACAAATAATAATTGGTTTATAGTTTCATTGAAAAAAAGAAAAAAAGAAATAAAATATTATTATTGCATTAGTATTATTTCACTAAATTTTCAGATCGAATTACATTCGTGAAATCAATCTTTATGGTGTTTCAAGAGATGTTTTCTTCCAATTCCATAGTAAATATGTAATTTTAATAAAATTGTGAATCGATTTTGAAATTATAAAATATTTACTATATCTATTCTAGAAAGGAAATCTTAACGAATTTTGATTTCTTGAAACTTTTCAAATTTCAAATTTCAATAAGTTTATATTTAACTAATAAAAAAAATAATTATTTTTGCTTGCAAAAATCCAATTAAAATAAATCTAAAATTTATACACATTTAATTAGATTATTATTTTCAATATTTTAATAAGTTATTTGTATAAATTATCTTTTATCTAGATTTTGAGATTATGATTATTTCAAATAACATAAAAGATAACAAAAAATTTTGAGGTTAGAAAATTAATTTTATGTTATAATTAAAATTAAAACTAAACTACATTAGAGAAGTTCAAGTATTTAATTTAAAAATTTGAAAATTTTAAAATTTGTAAATTGAAAATTTTTTTCTAAATTGAATATAATATTAACATTTTTAATTTAAAAGAAATATAAATAGACATGATGCAAAATAAAATATTGTAATGATAATTCAGTTATTGATATGCAATTTTATTTTCATTTTTTTTTTTTTTTGTAATTGAACAGATGTTTTTGTGAAAATATTTTTGACCATGAAAAAGGAATCTGTGCGAGCATCGTGTACCACTAACTTTTATTCATGATTATTGGGTTGACGAAAATGATGTTCCTTGGTTTAAAAAATCTACTAACTTAAATTGATTCAAAATATATTAGAAGTTTAACGAGAAAAATTGTTAATATAGAAGCAATAAATGAAGAATTCATATCGCTATATAATATGAAGATAATTATAGATATGTATGAAGATACATTATGACTTTGTCGTTTTAATTAAATTAATTAACTCATATTTAGAAAAATATAGTTATAAATATTTATTCATTATATATATATATTCAGTCACTTCTTGCAGTGTATATTAGATAGTTATTATCATCTCATGAAAGAAGATAATTCTCTTGGACTTAGTGAAATGATTAATTTCACACAGAACTAATACATAATAAACATTAAATGATTGAATTCTCAATCTCTCTTTGTCTTTCTTTAACTTTTATTCTCTATAATCGTTATCGACAGAGATGAAATAAGGCTTGAATTCCATATCTTTTATATACATGTATATTGAATTATTGATCCAGAGTATTGAATTCATGATAAATATAATATATAATAAATATCATAATAACATCGAAAAATTAACTTCAACATAATTAAATTTAACTTGATGCAATAATTGACATCTATATAGCATCTTTTAAAATAATAAATAATATTGCATGAAGTTAATTGCAGCGAAAGATGAAAATTTTATTAAAAAAGACCATTTAATTTTCAATTGCTTCTATATTAATAAATTCGATATTAAATGTTCAACTATATAAATGTTCAATATATATAAGATGATCGATTATTATAATTAAATATGATCCATAAATCCTATAAATAGATCTTGTCACGAGAACAAACAAGTGATCATTACATTAAGTACAAAAGTAATGTATAAATTTAACAAATGTGTCCCAAACTAATCGATAATTATAAAGAGATTAAAGTACTGACAGGGAATGAGAGAAATTATTGCCCGCTTATTTAACATTTTAATCAGAAAAATTGGCCTCTGTACGAAAATTATACATTTATTATTATTACAATTGTATATAAAATAACGATAGACCTTCAACTAGAGTTGTTTGTTAATTAAAATACGGCTCTATAATCGAGAATAAATTCGATTGTAAAGCATTAGAAGTATCGTGAGAAGAAGAATGTTCGATATTCGTCTTTGTGAAACTCTTACTCGATCTACTCACGGTCTATTTCCATCGTGGATTAAAGCAATTTTGTCACGCTCTGATCCTGGAGAAAACTTTCTACATAAAACAATTTCGATCGATCATCGATTTATGTACTTTGAGATACTTCATACTATTTCATTCTAATTTTAAATTTTCTTTTCATTATTAATAAAAAAAAAAAAAGAAATCGGTAATCAATATCACCAAGAAAATATTATTCATAGACTATGTATTAAACTTTTAATTGAAAAAGAAACGAGTTAATTTCTCATTTGAATTATCAATTTCTTAGATTTAATAACTTTTTTAATAATTTAAAAGTTCACTTATTCATACTTTTTTTTTT